GTGGGCAGAGGGAGAAGCAGACTCCCTGCTGAGCAGGGAGCCTGATCCTAAGACCCCAGGATTATGACCTGAGCCGAAGGCAGACACTCCACGGACTAAGCCACCCAGGCAGCCCCTAGAATTAGTTTTTTAAAATTTATTTTATTTTATTTTTTTAGAATTAGTTTTTTTTAAAGGTTTTATTTATTTATTCATGAGAGACACAGATTGGGAGAGAGAGAGAGAGAGAGAGAGAGAGAGAGGCAGAAACACAGGCAGAGTTAGAAGCAGGCTCCATGCATGGAGCCTGATGTGGGACTCGATCCTGGGGCTCCAGGATCACACCCTGGGCCAAAGGCAGGCGCTCAACCACTGAGCCACCCAGGCATCCCTAGAATTAGGTTTTTTACTTTGTGTCATGTAACAGTCTATTTTCTTACTGTCAGTTTCCTTTAATTTTGAGTTAGATAAATAACTAATTTGGATTAAATGAATAAATAATTAGTTTGGATTAAATACGTAATTTCCTTTTGTTTTGAATCTACCTCATGAGTTTATCTAAACTGTTGGAGCCTATAGGATTTTTTTCTTTAATCTTTTTTTTTTTTTTAAATAAGCTCTACTTCCCAACATGGGGCTTGAACTCAAGACCCCAAGATCAAAAGTTACATGCTCTACGAACTGAGCCAGCTAGGTACCCTAGAACCTATAGGATATTTTATGTCCTTCAAGCATCTAGATATTTCCCCTTATACTAATTTTCAGAGTTTGGTTAACAATTCCTTAGCCATGTTTATTTACCTTTCCTTTTGGCACTTTCCCTTTAGCCTTTATTATTCCAGACAGAAGAGGCTGGGCTTTTCAGTTGGTTTTCTTTTCTTTTTTTTTAAGATTATTTATTTATTCATGAGAGACACAGAGAGAGAGGCAGAGATACAGGTAGAGGGAGAAGCAGGCTCCATGCAGGGAGCCCGACGTGGGATTCGATCCCAGGTCTCCAGGATCACACCCTGGGCTGAAGGTGGTGCTAAACCACTAAGCCACCCAGGCTTCCCTCAGTTGATTTTCTTTTCTTTTTTTTTTTTTTTTTTAAATTTTTTATTTATTTATGATAGAGAGAGAGAGGCAGAGACACAGGCAGAGGGGGAAGCAGGCTCCATGCACCGGGAGCCCGACGTGGGACTCGATCCTGGGTCTCCAGGATCGCGCCCTGGGCCAAAGGCAGGCGCCAAACCGCTGCGCCACCCAGGGATCCCTCAGTTGATTTTCTTAAAGTATATCTTTGACCTCTAATTCTATTTGCAGTAAATAGGAATGCATGAAAATGTTTCCTGTGATTTGTACAGCTGGATCTCAAAATTAAGGTGCATACATGTTGCACATATTCAGGTGCATTTTAAGCTTGTGAACACATGTAATAAATTTAGAGATTAGGGATTAGTTGGTTTATTTCTCCATGTTTATGCCAAATTGTGATGTTTTATCTCTGAGCTATGTTTAACTGAATGTCAGTCTTTTCAGAATGATCCTGCTATCGAATATTTTCATTGCTTCCCATCAGTGTGTTCTAGGGGATGAGGACAGGTGGAGAATTAGACTAGGATTTAAATCCTAATGTTAATTTACTTATCTAATAACCTTGGAAAAATCATATGACCCTAATAGGTCTTTGCTTACTTATCTGTGAAGTGAGAATGATAGTAGTTACCTCTTAGAATGGATGTGCAGATTGAATGGGATCTCCTGAACTACCTCACTACCTTAAGGTATACACTGAGGGGGGCACTAGATGGGATGAGCACTGGGTATTATGCTATATGTTGGCAAATTGAACTCCAATTAAAAAAAATATATAAAGCAGAAAAAAAAGTATCCATTTGGTCATGCTTTTAAAAAATTTCTCATCACTTGAATCCCTTCATGCCAATAAATTTAAGATCCCTTATTTAAATCTCCTTTACAATTTTTTAAAAGATTTTATTTATTTATTTACTTTTTAAAAATTTATTTATTTATTTATTCATTCATTCATTCATTCATTCATTCACTCATGAGAGACACAGGGGGAGAGAGAGAGGCAGAGACACAGGCAGAGGGAAAAGCAGGCTCCACGCAGGGAGCCTGACGTGGGACTCGATCCTGGATCTCCAGGATCACTCTGGGCTGAAGGCAGCACTAAACCGCTGAGCCACCTGGGCTGCCCAAAATTTTATTTATTTATTTTGGAGAGACAGAATGCAAGCAGGGACAGGGGCAGAGGGTGAGGAGAGAGAGAGAGAGAGAGAGAGAGAGAGAGAGAGAGAGAATCCCAAGCTGAATCTGTACTGAGTATGGAAGCCAATGCAGGAGTTGATCCCAGTACCCTAAGATCATGACCTGAGCCAAAATCAAGAGTCGGACACTTAACTGACTGAGCCACTTAGCTGCCCCTGAAATCTTTACAAATGACAAGGACTCCAGGGGCTTACTTTTTCAAGGGAGTTTCCTTCCCAGATGGGAACAAACTGGGAAAAGCATGGCATCTACTGGTAGGCCCTGGTTTCAGCTGCTGCTGTTTTGTTGGGATCTTTTGAATCCACTGGTTCCATCCAGTCTAACGGACTGTTATCCGTTGCTACCTTGCCCCTTCTAGTCAAGATCTTTGCATACAATGTGGTGGTGCCAAAGGTTGGCCTCTCAAGGGTACTTCTTTTCTTTTCTTTTCTTTTTTTTTTTAAAGATTTTATTTATTTATTCATGAGAGACTCACAAAGAGAGGCAGAGACACAGGCAGAGGGAGAAGTAGGCTCCCTGCAGGGAGCCTAATGTGGGACTCTTATCCTAGGACCCTGGGATCACACCCTGAGCTAAAGGCAGGTGCTCAACCACTGCACCACCCAGGTGCCCCTTGGGTTGTCTTATGACAGGCTCACCAAGCTTGGTGTAAACATTGGCTTATTCTTGGGCATGAATCAAGAGCTGGTGGCAATAGGTCCTCATGTGAACCTCTGATAGCCTCCAGCAAGCAAGATTCTCCTTTCACAGCTGCTTTTAAGGTGTCTTTACCTAAGCAAGTTTATACTTTCTTCAAATAGTCAGATTTAAAAAAAAGATTTATTTATTTTAGGGGAAAAAGGGGCAGAGGGAGAGGAGAAAACCTCAAGCAGACTTCCCACTGAACATGGAGCCTTGGGCTTGATCTCATAACTATGAGATCATGACCTGAGCCAAAACAAGGGTCAGATGCTCAACTGACTGAGCCTCTCAGGTGCCCCTCAAATAGTCAGATTTTATTTTACATTTGTATTTAATTTGTATTTTTAAAAATGATTTTATTTATTTTTTTTGAGAGAGCAAGAGAGAGCACAAGCAGAAGGAGGGGCAGAGGGAGAGGGAGAAGCAGGCTCCCTGCAGAGGGCCTTGATTCCAGGGCCCCAGGATCATGACCTGAACTGAAGGCAGATGCTTAACTGACTGAGACACCCAGGTGCCCCTTAATCTGTAATTTTTACATAGTAAACATGCTCAGAGCATTTTGTCATGGAAAATAATTTGCTAATCGAAAAATAAACAATTCATAGCTAATATCCTTCTTAAGACAGGTAGAGGTGTTTTATAAAGTGTGCCTTGTCACCAACCATTGCCCCGTAAGTCAACTTTCTGCTTTCTGTGAGAAAGGGTGTGGCATCTGCTCTTTTGTAGTTTTAGTTTCATGGAACCATATTTTCCTTGTCTGGTTTTCCAATAAAACGTGCGTCTGTGTGGTTAAGACACACAGAGGGGCCCCTGGGCCATTGTGGTCAGAGGCTGACCTCAGACTCTGTCTCCAGCCTTCAAGACAAGCTCTGTATCACATTCTCTTGCAGAATTCCCAGACCTCACCACGAGGCCCAGGGGTGTGGCATCTCAAAGCTGACTCTGTTCTCCAAAAGAAAGTGACAGCTTCCTTGTATTATTTTGGGTACAGAAATGAGTTTCTACATGTATGATGAAACACATCAGGTGCTTAATACCATATAATTCTTACAGGTGTTTAATTATTGGCTCTAGACACAGATTCTGTTTCGAAAGAAAAAAGACTGAGCGGTGCCTGGCTGGTTCAGTTGGTAGAGCTTGTGACTCCTGATCTCAGGAGTGAGTTTGTGAGTTCAAGCTCCGGTGTGGAGCCTACTTAAAAAAATTAAAACAAAACAAACAAAAACAAAAACTGAGACTAATTCTGAGGCATTCCTGAATTATCCTTACTCCCTCCCGACGTTTCCTTAACTGACCCTTTGCTTTAATATTTTCAACAGAAATGTTTTGCTTCTCTGTGACTATCATAAATAAATAAAAATTAAAAAAAAAATTTTTAAAAGGGATCCCTGGGTGGCGCAGCGGTTTGGCGCCTGCCTTTGGCCCAGGGCGCGATCCTGGAGACCTGGGATCGAATCCCACGTCGGGCTCCCAGTGCATGGAGCCTGCTTCTCCCTCTGCCTATGTCTCTGCCTCTCTTTCTCTCTCTGTGACTATCATAAATAAATAAAAATTAAAAAAAAATTAAAAAAAAAAAAAAAGAAATGTTTTGCTAATGATGTGAGTAGCAGCTTCGGCTTAGTGCCTTTGTTTTTTCCAGTCAGCCTCGCTCTCCACAAAACATTGCCTCCTGGTTCTTTGAGATCCCCATTGAATTTGGAGAAATTATGTCTTGGCATTCAACCTATTTTCCTGGAACACAATGTGATGCTGACGACACAGGCTAGTCACTCCACTTGACAATAAATTTGCTTGTCTCATTTCACTTGAATATTCAGCGGTGAGTAAGAAGTGGAAAGCCTGACTTACCACGGTTTATTATATGTTTCATGCCCGTGATAATTACTTTTATAATGCCATTCATGAATAAATTGATCAGATCAGGATGAGTCACCTGCCTGGCCACTAGCTATTGGAATGATTCTCCACGCATGACTGGGTTGCATTATTACAAAACGTGGAAGAACAGACCTGCCCTGCCATCACGGCAGATGTTCATTTGTAATGCTGTCTTAAGGAGATGAAGAGATGAGAGCAAACTGTTCGAGCAGCTCAGCCTGCCCTGTTAACAGTTCGGAGGAGGAGCTGCCAGTGGGGCCGGAGGTACAAGGGAACCTGGAGGTTGTTTTCACAGTGGTGTCATCCGTGATGATGGGCCTGCTCATGTTCTCCTTGGGATGCTCTGTGGACTTCCGGAAGCTCTGGGCGCACATCAAGAGACCCTGGGGCATTGCTGTGGGACTGCTCTGCCAGTTTGGCCTCATGCCTCTTACAGCCTACCTCCTGGCCATCAGCTTCTCTCTGAAGCCAGCCCAAGCTATTGCTGTTCTTGTCATGGGGTGCTGCCCAGGGGGAACCATCTCGAACATTTTCACCTTCTGGGTCGATGGAGATATGGATCTCAGGTAAGTTACACTAGGAAAGCCTGGAAGTCTCCCCCTTGATAGCACTAACACTTTCATGTTAAAAACTCTGCCAATCTTTAGGTAGAGATTCCAGTGGGCAGCATTTTATGGAGTTCAGTCCTGGAAGGACATTTCTTTCTGAGCTTAAGATGTGCTTTGCTGTGATCATCCTCTGTTTTACTGGCAACTGCTTCTCTGAGTAATTGGATTTGGTTCATATGTAATAGTGGAGGCAGATTTCCTCCTCACCTGATGGTCCAACCTAGGTGTGAACTCACTCTCGCCCACGGTGGCAGCTTTAACAGTCATGGCTTCCTGTGTCCCAGGACATAGGCTGAGAATCCCAGAAGCTGACGATAGGGGTTTGTTCGGTGGGCGTGGTAGTGATGGTGGCAGAACCAGAATGAGATCCTCATAGCTCTGATCAGCAAGGGTTGCCTTTGCATCTACTCTATGAAACAAGTACTTGTGGGCACTGGATAAAGGAGTTTTTGGAGTATGTGATGGACATAACCTGTTTTAAGTGGTGGCCTATTGAGTTTAAGTGGTGGCCTATTGAGTTGACTTGGGGAACAATGTAAAGACTTTTATGACTAAAAATGTTCTTTCTTGTTGTTTTGCAGACTAAACATTTATCACTGTCATCTCATTGCTTTGGTTTACACCAGGGACCTATCTCCCATTGTGGTGTAAATAAATGTCCCTGGCAGACATTAGGCTTTATCATTTATTTACTCTTTAATGAGGAAGAATTAATCATATATCTTTGGGAGTACATGTTTCGATGCTGAAAAAAGGGCATTTGAAGAAAGAATAGAGAAGGCACAATTGGAAAAATAAAAGTAAAAGACGGTGGTCTTTCTGGTTTCTTTGCTTACTTACGAATAGACTGTTTCTCTTCCTGCCCAAGGGAAGTATGACTTATGAATGTAAATCTTTGTTCAATGTGTATGTCATTTAGTTGAGATTTATTATGCGATGCCTGAACCAATCAGAGGTGCTGATGGTGTGGGGAGTTCATTTCAGTGAACCAGCGATAGGTCTGGGTTTCTAGTTCCCTGCATGTGCTCAGTACTTAGCTTACGAATATATTTCACTTGTGAATTTTAATGGGCTCAGTTCAGGGAGATGAATTAATTTTCATATGACAATATGTTTAGTTACCCACTGATCAGGGGCTTGAAGAGCACTAATTCAAAAAAATGCCTTAATATACATTGCTAATTCCAATTAAAGAAAGTCCATTATTAGCACAATAATTGGAAGATGATAAATATTTTTCACATAGTCTACATATCAGTGATAAATTTTGGGACCTAAATATTTTTGTGTGTTTTTTTTTTTTACCTAAATATTTTTGGAAAGAAAAAGGAATTTTACTAATTGAGTATGTTGCTAATCATGAGGTAGACTCTCTCATGTATTATTTCTCTTCTTTCTTGGTTCTCAGAATAACTTTGTAAGTGACCTTTTATTATCCTGAATGTTACAGCTGAGAAAATTGTGACTCAGGTTGGTTAAGGAGGTTGCCAAATGCTATAGCTGCATATGGAAGAAGGCAGATTTGAATTCACATCTGTTTCTCATCAGTCTGCAATTTAGGCACTTTCTTCCATGCCATTTATTAACACAACTTAGTTTTCTGTTCTGAGTAAGAGTATAAATCTTAAACCAGTGTTCTCAAACACTTATGCTCTGGGAAAGAGAACATTTATTAACTTCATTTTTTATTAGCCGACATTATACCAATGAATAGGAAGTCTATAAAAGATAAAGCTCATTTTGCTTCCTTTTGCCAACTCTATCCTTGATTAGCTTCACATTAGTCAAATTATTTAACCTATAAACCTCATTCCTCATTTATAAAATGGGTTAAAATTACCTATTCTCCACAAGTCTAGATTTTAAGGAGGAAAAATACATGCAGGATGCCAGGCACTTGGTTGGTATGTAATAAATATTAACTACTTCCCCCTTTTTTTGAATTCTGGTTTTGAATCTCACAAACAAAACAAAAATAAGCAGAAAACCCCCACAAAAAACCCTGTAAGATATGAAATTTTAAAATGATGACTAGGGATGCCTGGGTGGCTCAGCGGTTGAGCGTCTGCCTTCAGCTCAGGGTGTGCTCCTGGAGTCCAGGAATCGAATCCACATTGGGCTCCCTGCAGGGAGCCTGCTTCTCCCTCTACCTATATCTCTGCCTCTCTCTGTGTCTAATGAATAAATAAAATCTTTTAAAAAATGATGACTAAATATTAGATTTTTAAAAGCTTATAGATATGTGTAATAAAAATCTTGATTCTCAGTAAAAATTGCATTGTAGGAGAAAATTCAGTATTATTGAGGGAAACAATGTCCAAGTTCATTATATCTCATCTGACTTGATTAGCAACAAAAATAACTTCTAAACCAAAAAAAAAAAAAAAAGTAGATAGTCCTTGATAGGAATTCTGTTTTCATGCTAGATAAAATTCATAAGAATTTAGAAGAACATCTTCATTTCATAAATGAGGAAATTGAGATTTAGTTCTCTGCAGGTCTCTCAAACATACTTCTCATGCCTTAATTCTATGCTCCACCTAATCTACCTGTAGTTCTCCATGTGTTCACCCCAAGCAGGGCATTTCAGAATCAACATGTATGAGCCAGTTTCTGCATTCTGCATATCTGATGATAACACCTATCACTGTCCCAGTCACCTGGGCTCATCATCTCAGCATTCCCCTGTGGCTCATTTCGTTCTTCACCTCATTCACTCAGTCCAGTGTCTAGACCTGTAGCTCATCACTTGTGGGCCCAGTCACTCACAGCCAGTGCTTCCTGTTTATCTCCACTGCTGGTTCCTTAGGGTGGGCACTAAGGACCTAGCCAATTTCTTTCTTGGCCAATTGCAGTATCTTCACAGTATTCTTTCCACTTTGGAGAGCTGCGTCTCTCTACCATGGTTTTATAGTAAGTGGGTGAGGCCGACTCTGGGGTCTGACTGTCTAATCCTCACTTGGGATCTCTTTCCTGTAACTAAATCGTAACACTTCCCTATGGTATTGTAAAGGTATTATAAATATGCATGTTATGTGTAGAAAGATTTCTCAACACCTACTAACTTGGGTGGAAACTAAGCCAGGTCTAACCTACTTCTCGGGTTTATTTCCCAATAAGCACGAAATAGTCTGTAGTCAAAATGGACTACTCACTGTTCTCTGAACACACCCACACTTTCCCGCCTTCCTTTGCCCATGTTGTTCCCACAGCCTGGAATGCCTATTCTGTCCCTTCTAGTCACCAAGATCTCCTTCATTATAATCATTCTGGAAAGCAACCGACTGGTAAGTATGAAGAGCCTAAAAAATTATTCTGTTCCTGGACTGAGCTCAGCTAATCTTGCCTGGGTTCTTTTACATGTTTGGGTACTGGATAAATGTAGATTGGTTTTGGATGGCCTTATCTGGGACAATTGGATTTTTTTCCACATGGCCTCTCATTCTCCAGCAGGCTGGCCTAGACCTAATTATGTCACAGAGGCAGGGTGCTGACAAAGAGGAAGCATACAAGGTCTCTTGATATCTGGGATGGAAACCAGTTCATCATCACTTCCACCACATCCCATTGGCCAATGCATTTTGCAAGGCCAGTTCAGATATCAGGAATGATAAAGTGGATTTTTTCTCTTGATGGATAACCTGCAAAGTCACGTTGCAGAGGGCATGGCTAAGAATGGATGAAGAATTAGGGACATTTTTGTAGTCTACTGTACTAAACATGGACAGAGTTCTTGCCTTTGAGGGTAGGTCATGAGAACTAAGGTCTGGCATTATACTGTAGTAGCTAAGTGCACTCTGGAGCCAGCAAATGGGACTGTCACTTACTAACTGGGTCAACTTGGCAGATTATATAAATCCTTTATGCTTCCTGGGTGCCTGGGTGGCTCAATTGGTTAAATGTCCAACTCTTGATTTCAGCTCAGGTCATAATCTTAGGCTTGTGAGATCGAGCCCTTTGTTGGGCTCCTCGCTGGGCATGGAGTCTGCTTAAGATTCTCTTGCCCCACTCCCTGACTTGTGTGCGCGCTCTCTCTCTCTCAAATTAAAAATAAATTCTTTATGCTTCAGTTTCCTCACTTCTAACATAGGGGGAAGCATAATCTACCTCATGGGTTGTTGTGAGGATTAAGTGAATATAAATAAAGTGCTTAGAATCTCACCTGGCTCAAAATGCTATGAGTCATTATATGTGGCAGGCAAAAGAGCTCCTTGTCAGGGTCTGTCTTTTAGTCTTTGCCCAAGATGCTGTGTGACTTTGAGTGACTGACTTCTCTGGACTTCAATTTTCTCTTTGGTAGAATCAATGAGTTAGACTCTCTGAGGTCTTAAAAATGTACATAACAAAATCTACCATTTTAATCATTTTCAAGTGTACAGTTCGGTGGCATTAGGACACTGATATTGTTGTACAATCACCAGCATCTGTCTCTATATAGTTCTTCTCTGCTCAAACTTAAACTCTGCACTCATTAAACAATGACTCCCCTGTCCCTTCAGACCCTGTCAACCACCATTCTCCTTTCTGTCTCTATGAATTGGACTGGATATCTCATATAAGTGAAATCATAAAATATTTGTCCTTTTGTATCTGGCTTATTTCACTTAGCATAATGTCTTCAGAGTGCATCCATATTATATCATGTGTCAGAAATTCCTTCCCTTTGAAGGCTGTACATTGTACGTGTATATCCCATGGGTACATGTGCATACATACATCATGAGGTCCCATTCCTCTGTTGATGGACACTCATGTTGTTTCCATCTTTTGGGTATTGTGAATCATGCTGCTATGATTGTGAGTGTGCATGCCTGTTGGAGTCCCAGCTTTCAGTTCTTCTGGGTATAAGCCAGAAGTGGATCTCGGGTCATTTTAAGTTTTAAATATTTTGGACAATAGGAAAAGAAAAGCAAGTTATAAAGTCCGTGTCCCCTTCCCCCACCCCAGTTTTTAATGTT